CATCAACTACTCAAAAAGACTGTCTGGAGAAGAATTGAAGATCACCAATGCTGCCTACGACTGAGTCCCTGGAGTGGAGAAGCTGGTGATGAATACAAAGATGGACCTTGCCTTGCAGCTTATACAGCATGAGAGCCCGAGAGCTTGCTACATTACTACAAGGCCATGGAGCTGTCCACAAAGTTCAATTTGTTTCTCACATGTTCAAGAAGATTTGGCCCCCCGTCGATCACAACATGGTCAGATGCTACCAGCATTTTGGACAAATATTCATAGGTTATACTTCCCATCAAAGGATCAACTACAAGGAAATAAGTTCAAGAAAAACAAAGAGAAAACTCACAAGGATCTGGCTCACCCAGCAATGCACAAATCAAAACAAAACTTTGGAAATTGTAAGAGCTGGACTTTAATTCTCCTTGAGAGTTTTCAAGAATGTTTCAGTGATAGATTCACGTTTTAAACACCACCTACATTTTCCAACGAGAGATAAGATCTTTGAATTCTTCCTCCTTTCCACATTATCTTGAGAGGCTTTAATGGATAATTTCTGGGGAGGCTAATGTTGACCTTATAAAAGGATCCTATGAAATCAAGAAGAATTTCTTCAAAAGTTGAGAATTGAGCTAAGAAGTCTACCCGATGCATTGACAATTGTGGAGACCCACTCATAGCAATTATTGGCCTTTGGACTGGCAAAGCAATTCTCTAGTGGATCTCTATGAGCTCCTTCTGGATCTGCTTCGCCCCACTGTGCCAAACCACTCATAACCTTTTGGAGTAGATTGTAAATCAGCTGTTTACAAACATTTTTAATTCATTAATGATTTTATTAATATTAATATTGAATTAATTAATTAATTATAATTAAATATTAAATTAGCTGATTCTGCTAATTTACAATCTTTTATTTCTATCCACTCAAAACCTTTATGATACACATGCTGCAATGTGAACAATACTCAGCCAAGGACATTCAACCATTCCCCACTTGGAGCATGTCAGGATCTGAAAGAGGGAAGCTTGAGAAATTTATGCAAAGCCAACCATTGATCTCACCGTTCCAGCCTCTGGGATGCCCACAAATTGTTGGCATCCGCTAGCAACTCTATACTGCAAGCAAAACTGGTCATAGAAGGGAAAAAGAAGAAGAGCTAAGAGAACTTTACCATGGCTATCTGTCTTTAGTGATGTCTCAGCTATTCACATACTTCCCAGCCCACATAGTTGGATGATCTGCT